CCCCGGCCCCCCCGTCCCCCCCCCCGGGGGGGTACCCGTGGCCCGCCCGCCCCCCCCAAAGCCATTTGGGGTTTTTTCTCACCCCCCGGGCCCCAGCCTTTTCCCCCCCGGGGGGGGGTGGCCCTGGGGCCCCGCCATGGCCCCGCCCAAGTGTTTTCAGGGGCAGGCAACCAACCCCAGGTTTGGGGGGTTAAGGGGAAGGGGGGGCTTTGGGGGGTGGGGGGGAGTCCAGGGGGCCCCCGGGGTTTGCCCCGGGGCCCCCCTTTTTTTGGGGGTTTTGTCCCCCTGGGGGGACTGAAACCCCGGGGGGTTTTTTTTTTTAGCAGGGTTTTTTTATTTTTTGGCCAGGGGGGCCCCCCCCCAATGGGGGGGTTCACCCTTTGTTCCTGATTGGGAGTCATACTTAGGTAGCCGTTAGGCATTCATTATTTGTGGTTTCTTGTTCTTATTTGGTTTGTGTTAAACCGTAGACATCACGTTATCGTCTGTTGTTTTGATCGTGTGATCATTCTCTAATAAATATGTTCACCCTCAACGCTGCACCTTGGTCCTCCTCTCTGGTAGACGATCGTGACAGAAGAAACCACCAAGATGTGACCAAGCAGCGTGTCCAGGAGCCATCGCCAGGGAGATCTCTAGCAGATCTCCTTCGCCTCCTCGACTGGGTCAAGCCCAGTGAGGAAGAGAAGGGCTTGACATTGTGGCAGAAGGGCGAAAGGCTGGCGAGGGACATGGAGACCTGGTCCACGGGTAGAAGAGACGCCCCGAAATTTTTTAGGGGGGGGGCTAACGCCGTGGACGACGGGCCAGCAGGAGACCGCGGCAGAGCGGCCCAGCGGATTGGCAGAGGAGGCCGCCAGGTTACGGGGGCCACTGGTCGAAGAGGGGGTGGAAGATGTAGAGGCACGGCGAGAGGTACTGGCGTGTGTTGCCAGTCCGGTCCGGCCTGTTCCTGATCCCCACGTAGGGCCAGTGGTGTGTGTTCCCAGTACGGTCCGGCCTGTTCCTGCCACTCGCACCAAGTCTACGGTGCGCATCGCCAGCTCGGCCCGGCCCATTCCTGCTCCCCGCACCAAGTCAGTGGTGGTTTCGTCAGCCCTGTCCGGCCCGTTCCTGCTCTCCGCACCAAGTCTGTGGTGCGCGTCGCCAGCCCAGTCCGGCCCATTCCTGCTCCCCGCACCAAGTCTGTGGTGCGTTTCGTCAGCCCTGTCCGGCCCCTTCCTGCTCCCCGCACCAAGTCAGTGGTGCGTTTCGTCAGCCCGGCTCGGCCCGCTCCTGCTCCCCACACCAAGCCAGTGGTGTGCGTCGTCAGTCCGGCACGGCCCGTGCCTGTTCCACCGGTGGCGGGTCCGGCACCGGTCAGGTGCTGCGTCACGCCGGAGCTAGAGCAATCCGCTCCACCAGTGTTCAGTTCAGCTCTGGTCAGCAGGGCCAGACCGGACCAGGGGTACTTTGGGGGGTTAGAGAAGGAGTGGGGGTCATGTCCGGAGCCGGATCCGCCGCCGAGGCGGAGTGCCAACCCGGTCCCTCCCCTGTTGTATTTGGTTGGCGCGGTCGGAGTCCGCGCCTTTAGGGGGGGTACTGTCACGCCCTGGCTCTGGGGACTCTAGTATGTTGAGCCAGGGTGTGAGTTTTCATTTGTTTATGTTCTAGTTGTTGTATATCTATGTTGGCCAGGGTGGCTCCCAATCAGAGACGGCTGTAGCTCGTTGTCTCTGATTGGGAGTCATACTTAGGTAGCCGTTAGGCATTCATTATTTGTGGTTTCTTGTTCTTATTTGGTTTGTGTTAAACCATAGACATCACGTTATCGTCTGTTGTTTTGATCGTGTGATCATTCTCTAATAAATATGTTCACCCTCAACGCTGCGCCTTGGTCCTCCTCTCTGGTAGACGATCGGGACACATTCGATTTGAGCAAAGACAGCACTTTAAACAAGAAATTGCACTCATTGTGAAAGGAAGATAATGTGCCAAGGGAAGCGGCTCAATCTTTAAGCTTGATCCAATTGTTGACAATGGCATTCTGAGAGTGGGAGGAAGGTTAAGCAAAGCTGCTATGCCTACAGAACTAAAGAATCCTATGATCCTGCCCAAAGACTCCCACATCTCCAGACTGATCTTACTCTACATCCATGAGAAGGTTGGCCACTCTGAGAGAGGTCACATGCTTTCCAGACTTCGCCAGCGATATTGGATACCCTGTGCCAACTCCTTAGCAAGGAAGATCCTTAAGAGCTGTGTCTTCTGCAGGCAGATGCAAGCTAGAGCTGGAGAACAGAAGATGGCCGACCTTCCACAACATCGGGTGTCACCTGATTTGCCGCCTTTCACCCATGTGGGCATAGATTACTTCGGCCCCATAGAGGTGAAGTGAGGCCGCGTTCATGTGAAGCGGTATGGTGTGATCTTTACTTGCCTTGTGAGTCGAGCTGTCCATCTAGATGTTGCTAGTTATCTGGATACTGATTCGTGCATCAATGCCCTGCGCAGGTTCATCTATCGAAGGGGCCTAGTAACAAGTATCAGAAACAGACAATGGCACCAACTTTGTTGGAACACACAGAGAGCTAGGAGAAGCTCTGAATGAGCTGGATCACAACAAGATTCAACATGCATTACTGAAGGAAGGAGTGACATGGTCATTCAACCCTTCCTCTGGAGCCCACCATGGGGGAGTATGGAAGAGGTTGATCCGACTTGTGAAAAATATCCTCTATTCAGTCCTTAAAGAGCAAGTACTGGATAATGAGGCTTTGCAGACAGCCTTGTGTGAAATTGAGGCGATCATGAACGACAGACCAATCACAACTGTAAGAACGACCCTAATGATCTATAACCCCTAACTCCGAACCATCTGCTTCATCTGAAAGCAAAGCCAGTCCTGCCACCAGGACTATTCTAGAGAGGAGAACTATACTCACGAAGGAGATGGAAGCAAGTACAATATATCACTGACCTCTTCTGGAAGAGATGGATAAGGGAGTATCTTCCACTTATGCAGGAGCGGAACAAGTGGAACAAAACTAAGAGAAACTTCAGTCCTGGTGACCTTGTTGTCATCGTCGATGACACAGCCCCAAGGAACTCTTGGCTAATGGGGCGTGTGGTGGAGGCTTTGCCAGGGGCCAAAGGTCTTGTCTGGAGCGTCATGATTAAGACCAAGACCAACATCTTACAGAGACCTATCAATAAACTCTGTCTGCTCCTGGAGGCGGCTGACTGAGACAAACACACACACACACACACACACACACACACACACACACACACACACACACACACACAGTGCTCCATATTTGAATCACGTGCACCTCTGATTCTTGGATGATGTACTCTTACATTTTTGGACGTCAAACTTAACATTTTTTTAATGTTCAACACTTGAACACTTCAAATCGGGGACTGAGATCAATGGACTCTTGTCCTATATGGGACCTTGTATATTTGTATATAGCTATGAACCGTAATACTGCTCTGGTATAGTATGTTTTGTGTTTTGGCTCTATTTTTGAATATTAAGTCATTGTTATGCATTCAGTGCAGCTAACAATTAGGGACCGATATGTTAGAGCCGATTTGGACATACAGAACATACAGAGCTCCATGTACGTGTGTGTAAATATATGAAATATGAATGTACAGTATATGATGAAATATTAGGTACGTACCTTCATGATTTATTTACCTAATGGAGATATATTCCTTTGTTGTTAGTTTTTGGCTCCCCCTCTTGCCCATTCATTGTACTGTGGTAAGTTTGTTAGTGATAGGATAAAGGCAGGAAGTTGGGCCTTCGGGGGGAGGGGAGTCCTAGCTAGACGTGGGAGCGGTATAGACTTTTGACCATACAGACAGGCCATATTATGTATTTTTCATGCCAAGTCATCTGTGCTTTAAGTTGACTGGAGAATCTTTTTTTGTTAGATATAAGAAGAATAAACCTTCTTGTTGCACCATATCCCTGGATCTCATTGAATGTTTTTGCCGTTTGGGAACTTCGAATGTGGACTGTATGCGTCCGAAACAACCCCGCTTCAGGCTTGGGCAGTGGCTATGGTCAATTGGTAAGGAATCCACTGCAATCAACGTGAGTGCTATGGGGTTGTAATAATTTACTCAGGTTACCTTCACTTCCTTGGGCACAGGGACTATGGTGGTCTGCTTGAAACATGTAGGTATTACAGACTCGGTCAGGGAGAGGTTGAAAATATCAGTGAAGACACTTGCCAGTTGGTCCGTGCATACTTTGAGTACACGTCCTGGTAATCTGTCTGGCCCCGCGGCTTTGTGAATGTTGACCTGTTTAAAGGTTTTGCTCACATCGGCTACCAAGAGCATTGTCACACAGTCGTCCGGAACAGCTGGTGCTCTCATGCATGCTTCAGTGTTGCTTGCCTCAAAGCGAGCATAAAAGGCATTTAGCTTGTCTGGTAGGCTCGCGTCACTGGGCAGCTTGCGGCTGGGTTTACTTTTGTAGTCAGTAATAGTTTTCAAGCCCTGCCACATCCGACGAGCGTCAGAGCCGGTGTAGTAGGATTTAATCTTAATCCTGTATTGACGCTTTGCCTGTTTGATGGTTCATCTGAGGGTGTAGCGTGATTTCTTATAAGCGTCCGGATTAGTATCCCGCTCCTGAAAGCGGCAGCTCTAGCCTTTAGCTTGATGCGGATGTTACCTATAATACATGGCTTCTAGTTGGGATATGTACATACGGTCACTGTGTGGACGACATATATGGCCAATATACCATGTCTAAGGGCTCTTGTTATGCACGACACAACGCGGAGTAAACTGGTTACCAACGTAATTAGAGCAGTAAAAATACATATTTTGTCATACCCGTGGTATACCGTCTGATATACCACAGCTGTCAGCCAATTAGCATTCAGGGCTCGAACCACCAGGTGTATAATAAGGAATAAACACTATACTTTTAAGTCCCTATGATAAGTGACCCTATCAGTTAGTGTCCCTATTGTCCCTACTCCCTAGCACATTTAAGGCTTCTAAATGTACAAACAGAACACAACACTGTGGCAACATACTATACATTGAGGTGTATTTTAGTTAAGAGGAACAAATCCTTGAATGTTGCAGTAGATGGTCCCTGAGATGACTGACCTTAGGGATGGTGTACCCTCCAACCTCAGTGTCTTTAGTGGCCATGCGGAATACATTGAGCGGTATGATATTCCCCATCCTCTGTGTCTCATGGATGACTGCGTTTGTGTAGGGCATGCTGTCACTGTCTTCCATGGAGGGCTGCCGTGACGACCCAACAACTGCATCCATCTCTGCCTGCACCTTGGCTACATCAGGGATAAAAGATAAAAAGACAATGCAAAGAAAGTCATTATGCAAATTAATTGTGTGTGTGTGTGTGCGAATGCTCGCACACATCTTTATGCATTACCTTTTATCAATCAATCAAGATCAATCGCTTTGATTAACTGATTAAATGCAACAGGGGTCAAACTAAGTCGTTGTGATGGCGATGGGAGCGCTAACCTTGTATCTCCGGGTAGTTGATCATAAAGAGAAGGCCCCAATAAAGGGTTGTAGAGGTGGTCTCTGTCCCAGCCACAAATAGATCCAGAGTGCAGAAACACAAGTTCTCCAAGTTAAACCCAGCCCTTGTGTCGTCTTCCCACTGTTGAGCAAAACCCAACAAAACAACCTCAACAACATACTAGATACTTTATCAAATATTTAACAATTTAACTAATTGACGATGCTGTAGCTAAATCAACAATGTGTCAAAAAAATGTGATACAGAAATATGGACATGTACTGCAATAAAAATAAAGCTTTATATCCCCATGATTTGGATAGTGAGTGTGCCCGGCCTGCATCCAAAACAAATTATAATATTTAAACTACTTCCTTATCTAAAATTACTCTCTAATACAATTTTCTAGTGTAACTCTTCTCCAGTCCCATATCATCATCATCATCATCATCATCAGTGGTGTAGTGGAGGGTAAACATATGAAAACACAGTTTACCCACCTATTGTGGAAAAATGCATTGAAAATATAGGGAGAAAATATGGGTTGAACCATACTTTTCTCATTGATCATTTAAAAAATGTTTTACTTCAAAACTGGAAATCAAATGATCCTCTATCGTTAAGACATTGGATGAATCAAATGCATTATTATTTAACGTGTATACGGAATGTTGAGCTAATGTGCGCTAATGTGATTAGCATGACTGTTGTAAGTAACAGCAAACTTTCCAGGACATACAGTGGCTTGAGAAAGTATTCACCCCCCTTGACATTTTTCCTATTTTGTTGCCTTACAACCTGGAATTGAAATGGATTTTTGAGGGGTTTGTATCATTTGATTTACACAACATGCCTACCAATTTGAAGATGCAAAATATTGGGATTTTTGCCGATTCTTCAAGGCAAAACTGCTCCAGCTCCTTCAAGTTGGATCGGTTCCGCTGGTGTACAGCAATCTTTAAGTCATACCATAGATTATCAATTGGATTGAGGTCTGGGCTTTGACTAGGCCATTCCAAGACATTTAAATGTTTCCCCTTAAACCACTCTTGTGTTGCTTTAGCAGTATGCTTAGGGTCATTGTCCTGCATCCCAGTCTCAAATCTCTGGAAGACTGAAACAGGTTTCCCTCAATAATTTCCCTGTATTTAGTGCCAGCCATCATTCCTTCAATTTTGACCAGTTTCCCAGTCCCTGCCGATGAAAAACATCCCCACAGCATGATGCTGCCACCACCATGCTTCACTGTGGGGATGGTGTTCTCAGGGTGATGAGAGGTGTTCGGTTTGCGCCAGACATAGCGTTTTCCTTGATGGCCAAAAAGCTCAATTTTAGTCTCGTCTGACCAGAGTACCTTCTTCCACATGTTTGGGGAGTCTCCCACATGCCTTTTGGCGAACACCAAATGTGTTTGCTTATTTTTTTCTTAGAGCAATGGCTTTTTTCTGGCCACTCTTCCGTAAAGCCCAGCTCTGTGGAGTGTACGGCTTAAAGTGGTCCTATGGACAGATACTCCAATCTCCGCTGTGGAGCTTTGCAGCTCCTTCAGGGTTATCTTTGGTCTCTTTGTTGCCTCTCTGATTAATGCCCTCCTTGCCTGGTCAATTCGTTTTGGTGGGCGGCCCTCTCTTGACAGGTTTGCTGTGGTGCCATATTCTTTCAATTTTTGAATAATGGATTTAACAGTGCTCCGTGGGATGTTCAAAGTTTCGGATATTTTTTTATAACCCAACCCTGATCTGTACTTCTCCACAACTTTGTCCCTGTCCTGTTTGGAGTGCTCCTTGACCTTCATGGTGCCGCTTGCTTGGTGGTGCCTCTTGCTTAGTGATGTTGCAGACTCTGGGGCCTTTCAGAACAGGTGTATATATACTGAGATCAGGTGACAGATCATGTGACACTTAGATTGCACACAGGTGGACTTTATTTAACTATTTATGTGACTTCTTGCACCAGATCTTATTTAGGAGCTTCATAGCAAAGGGGGTGAATACATATTCACGCACCACTTTTCCGTTATTTATAGCATTTTTTGAAACAAGTAATTTTTTTCATTTCACTTCACCAATTTGGACTATTTTGTGTATGTCCATTACATGAAATCCAAACAAAAATCCATTTAAATTACAGGTTGTAATGCAACAAAATAGGAAAAACGCCAAGGGGATGAATACTTTTGCAAGGCACTGTAGACATGTCTTATATGGGCAGAAAGCTTAAATAATTGTTAATCTAACTCAATCAATCAATCAATTTTATTTTATATAGCCCTTCTTACATCAGCTAATATCTCGAAGTGCTGTACAGAAACCCAGCCTAAAACCCCAAACAGCTAGTAATGCAGGTGCGCTGTCCAATTTACAGTAGCTATTACAGTGAAAAAATACCATGCTATTGTTTGAGGAGAGTGCACAACAACAAAAAACGTATCACCGCAACTGGTTTGATACATTCACCTGTGAAGGTAAATCATCTACTTACATTCAGTAATCTTGCTCTGATTTGTCATCCTACGGGTCCCAGAGATAAAATGTAGCTTAGTTTTGTTTGATTACTTTTTATATTCAATTGTAGGAACTGGGTTCTACAGTTTGAACCCCTGCTGTCTCTGGTGCCACACCCACCCCGCCCGGCATTCTAGATGTGTGAAAGTTAGGTTATGAGCTAATGATCCATCATGTATGACATTCCTGGGAGTGTGTAAATTTACATATGTTCTCTATAGTTATGTAATTGAAAATGTATCAATTGACCAATTCAGCACATTTGGGCAGACTTGATAAATAGTCCAGTATTGCAATGCTTCACTGGATCAATCTGAAACTTTGCACGCACACTGCTTCCATCTAGTGGCCAAATTCTAAATTGTGCCTAAACTTCAATATTATATTGTGGCCTTTCTCTTGCATTTCAAAGAAAAAACGACGTTTGTATTATCTTTTACCAGGTCTAATGTGTTATATTCTCCTACATAAGTTTCACATTTCCACAAACTTCCAAGTGTTTCCTTTCAAATGGTATCAATAATATGCATATCCTTGCTTCAGGTCCTGAGCTACAGGCAGTTAGATTTGGGTATGTCATTTTAGGCGAAATTTGAAAAAAAGGGTCCGATCCTTAAGAGGTTAAATATACTTTTTTTATGTTGGCTAGAGAGAGAAACAAAATAGTGCAATTTGAATCCATATGGCATAAAGTGTTACAAGCACTGGAGATATCCAAATGATGAGAAATGGGAAAGGATGTTATTGTGAGACGGACAGGATGGGTATGAATACGGTGGGAGCATGTGGGTCTGAGTAAATGTGATGTTATTAATGTTTGTTGAATTTCATGTACGTCTGAGTTGGTGTTTTTTGTCTTTATTCGTCTTTTTTCTCTATGTTGAAGGTTGGGCATTAAGTCCCAGCCAACGTCATGTCTAGTTTAGTGGATCTATATTTGTCAAATGTTAAGTTGTCTATTGTCTTTGTATATGTATATTTGTGTCTTTTCTAACAACCAAAATACAATTATAATTTAAAAGAATCTATAATAATATAGGAAGCATTACTATATTCACCGCAAACGGCAATCAGTGTTTACCCAAATACTTTTTTTACCACTACATTAGTGATAATCATCATCATCGTCATCATTATCATCATCATCACCTTCTCTATCTCGTTGAGGAAGCAGTCGATGAAGTCTCTTGGTGATGAGGTGTCGTTGTCCTTTTTGTGCTCCTGAATCCTGATCTTGATAAAGGAGATGACCTCCTCCCAGCCAGAGAAGATCCTTCTGTGAGGACCAGGAACCCAACGCATGACCCACGGCATCATGTTATACATCTGCGGATATACAATAAATCAATCAATCCCATTTATTTCTAAAGCCTTTTTTACATCAGCAGTTGTGACAAAGTGCTTTACAGATATCCAGCCTAAACCCCAAAGAGCAATCAATGCAGAAGCAGAAGCACAGTGGCCAGGAAAAACTCTAGAAGGAAGGAACCTATAAAGAAACTTAGAGAGGAAGCCGGTGTAGTGTCTGAGGGATTATGACTTTGCTAATGTTTTCAAAGTGGAACCTGAGAGGATGTTTATTCAGTTTTAGGGGGAGCAGTTTTAGAGGGACACCCCATAGAACAGAGGAAGTCTGTTGTGTGGAGACAGGTGATTGGTCAGTATGGGAAACCACCCATATCCTGGTAAAGATTATAAGTACTGGTTTGAGACAAAGAAGATCAGAACAGACATATTATTTTGGGACACTGTTCTCCAGATGCTGCAGACGTCTGTAAACTTATGCTGAAATCTTGTGATATAAATAAAACTTATAATCAAAGTACAGTATAAGCGGACTCCTTGGTTTCACAGCATAATTAGCACCGTTTACTCGACACAACAAAATGGCGACGAGTGATTGGGGTGGTCTGCGTCTCTCCTGTGTTACATTCATGAGCAGCGAAGTGACTCCCGCTCAAGACGCCGGCTCATAAGGTGAGATTTCTCACAATCTTGTGTGCGGTTTGGTTCGCTTGGTTATGGGTGTGTGCGCTGGGGAGATGTACCGTGTAAAGGACTTGTGTGTGCTGATGTTGCTGTTATTGCTGTGGGATGGGGGTCTGTACTAAGAATTCTAAATTTGTTTGCGCTGGTAAACGACGCAAATAGGGGGGAGTGTCTATAGGGATATTTTGCTTGAATAAAGTTCAAGAAGAATAGATTGAAAGGAATAAGGCCTAGGTATATGTGTACAACTTAGAACCGTTGCGAATCTATGGAAAAACCCTCTTAAAGGAGGTGATCACTAGGATGGGCCAAAAATCCTAATAACACGTTAGGTGAAGTTAGGTAAGTCCATGGGGCTTGAGGCTGTGGTATATATATTCGATTGTATGTTACCTCTCAACATGTGGTTGACGAATCATTTGGTTGATGTGACCGCTCATTGGATTTCCGCGGGAACTCGTGGTAGCAAAAATTTAGAGAACAAAGGAATTTTACGGCGCAGCGGAGGTAAAATGATACATGCTACATGCTACATGCTAAATGATACATGCTGCGTGCTACATTGTTACCTTGGAGGTCCATAGGAATGGATCGAGCCTCCAAAACTGTGTTTAGAATAGTGTGGGATTTGTGTCCTATGGTTTGTGAGCTCTGTTGAGTGTTATTGTTTGTCTATGAGGGGTAAAAGAGAGGAGGTATAGCGGGACTGTTAACTTTCTGTTGTCTAGCTTGGAGAGAGCTGGGAGAGAGCTCCTTCCACTGTGAAATCGTATTGATGTTTGAACTACGCATGCGCGTGATTTTATGACTAGAGTTACATAGGGGTAAATATATCACTCCTCCTCTGCGGGGAGAGCAGACAAAGAGAGAGAACATTTAGAGTCTAATGGTGTATTCTGGTTGTTACATCGGCTGTTGTTTGACGATGAAACTGTTTTTCTTGAGACCTATTGAATTGATAAATGAGAGAGAGATGTTGACGGATTAAAAATAAAAATAATTAAATAAATAAATAAAATAAAAATTTTGTTGAGCTATTTATACGATTCCTGAGTTAATTCTTAGCGCGAATGTGACTAGAGGAATATTGAATGCTTGTAATAACTCAGTGAGTGCATAAACTACTAAATTCTTGTCTGTTTCTTTGTTCTTTTGTGATATGAGAGACGATAAGAGGAGAAGAGAGAGAGAGAGAGAGAGAGAGAGAGAGAGAGCGGAAATGCTGATGTGTACATGACGCGACAGAGTCTGCTGCAACAGGATCAAGTCAAAATCAAGGCTAGTACTGTTCTATTTACAAAAACCTACCTTCCCAGACAGGATATTTTGTGTGCCTAGCATATTTGATGTTATGACAATTTGACAAGGACTTGGCAAAGGACTGATCAATTGATGAAAATAAGAATTGCATATTGGAGTTTTTGTGCATGAGTGGGTTTGATTAGATATGGGGGGAATCGAGTACTGACATTATTCTGTAAAATTAAGGTAATTGGGTGCTTATTAAGCAATGGGGTTTATGAGTACTGTAGTGTTGTAGGATTAGAGGTCTTTATTTTTTGGATTGCTCTGAAGTTGACTACTTTCATTTACTTTCCTGATTGGATGTGGTAAGATTGCCACTAATCAATAATTTGGTAAAATAAAATAAAATGAACAGATAAATTAATTGATGAATAAATTAATTGATGAATTAATTAATTTGGGGAAGAAGAAAAAAAGGGAACTATAGGCTATATAGTCTAAAAATAAAAATAATTCACAATAAAAGAATATAAAATAGTTGTTACAAGGGGGAAAAAGGACTTCAGAACTATGAAAGTAATTACACCTGTTGATATAGTTGAAAATAGTAAACCTTGCAATACCATTAACTAAAGGTTATCTGGAAAAGGGAATAAAAGTTGGCCTGATATTGAACAACCATAGCTAGTGGGAGGGAATCTTAACCCTGACGTCATCAACATGATGAAAGTGATTGAATAATAGAGAGAGGAGAAGCAGAAACGACGATAAAGAAAACTCAAAAAGTAGGAAGAAAACCGAGAGGTCTGGAAACTAAGAGTGGAATGAGGTTAAGGAAGATGGAACTTGAAGATGAAGATGAAGAAGATGATGATGATGATGATCAGAGTGATTGAGAAGAGATCATGGGTGGATATGACTCTGTGATTAGAAGGAAGTTGGCAAGAGAGGAAGGAAGAAGGATACTAGAGATTCGATCCCTGATGGAAGATGAAGACAGCGATGAAGATTTGGAGATTACAGGTGCTTTATGTTCAAGAGGATTTTATTCTACAATGATTAACAAAGAAGAAATAGAAAGAGATATGGACTGATGTGTATTATGCCTGGATAAGGGGAATAATTTAGAAGAGACAACGAGAACTGGAACAACAACTCAAGAAGCTGAAGATACAGAAGAAGAGAGGAAAAAACAGCTGAAAAAAGGATCCCAAGAATTGGAGAAGAGGTATACATTAAGGCCAAGACAAGGGAGCACCAGTAAGAAGATGATGCCAGTGATCATTCGAGGTCAAAACTTAGAATATAAGCCTTTGCAAAATACCGATATGTCAGATATACTTGAGAAGCTGCCTACTCTTCAAGATGGAGCCTATCCTTGGATTTCAAAATTGGAAGAAATTACGGTGCGAACACAGTCTGCTATAGGAGACATTAAGAGACTTTTGGCTAATCTCCTTGGGATTCCAGGTATGGAAGACATTTTTCAGAGAGCGGGACTCAATAGATATGTGGGGACTGCAGTGAACGACCCTGAATTGTTGGCTGCAAGTAGGAATCGTCTGTGGAGAGCACTGAAAGATACGTTTCCAACAAATGTGCATCCTGATAACATTCTGATTGACCCACTAGGACAACAAGAAAATCCGAGAGCCTATGTGTCAAGAGTCCATCAAGTGTGGAGAAATATTACTGGAAATGATCCAGATGTGAGTCAAATTGAGCAGTCAATTTTGAGAGCTAAACTGCAGATGGGACTGCCCTCACCAGTAAGGAGCAAACTGGCAGAGGTGGTTGGACTTGGAAGCATGACAAAAGGCGTCTATAGAGATCATATAGCCCATCAAGTGGATCTGTACAGGAAAAAGGAACACAACCAGAAAGAACAGGACCAAGAAACTCTCAGAAAACTCAATCAAATACAACTGGTGGAGAATGAGAAGGAGAAGAAACAAGCTTTGGTTATGCAGAATCAGGGTGCACCAGGTCAACAATCACTGCCACAGCTTCAACAGGACCAGTTCCAACCGCAATTGTATCAGCCACCAATGGCGGTTCCAGTTGTTTCATATCCATAGATAGTTTCTGGACTGTGAAAGAATTGGAGAGGAAGGAGGACAATCTGTCTGAAAAATTATGTTTACAGGGTGTGACTGTTATTCTTGGTTATATTCATACACCAAGAGGTGCATAAGATGTCAAATAAGGCTAAACGATGCTCAGTCGTTTGCCAAGTCTGTGTGTAAAGAAGTCATAAGCAGGTGGGGACTTCCCGATCACATATCCTAAAATTAGTGGGAAGGGATTTTGTGGATAAATCAGTGAAATGGTTTTTGAAAAATTAGAGGGAAAGGGATTTTGTGAATAAATCAGTGAAATGAAAAGTCAGATTAAAAAAGTTAAGAAAACTAGGGTTGAAGGAACTCTAGGACAGTCAGCTAAGCTTCAATGTTAGTAGTAAGAGAGAGAGAACAGTGGTGAAGGGAAATTTAGAGTTCAGTGGGAAGATAGATATGGCAGGAGTTTAGATCTGTTGGGAGCAGTTGCATTGAGAAAGTATGCGTTGCTGAATGATGAGAGAAGAATGAAGATTGAGGGTGATTGCGGTATCTATATTTACAATTCCCAGCAGGAAGATCAAGGTGATTATAAGTGTATTTTATATAATCAACAGTTTGAAAGTGAGGGATTAGAGTTAGGACTGAGAGTTAATGTAGTGACACTAGTGGTGATAGATGGAAATACAAGTCAAGAGTTCAAAGCCTTAGGGAGAATGGATGAATTAACAACAATGACATCAACACTTCAGCCTATTATAACAACAGTGAGAAGCAATTTAACTCCTTCAACATTGACAGTTATTTAAGCTATAAATATATCACATTTGATTACAAGGGAGCCAATCGCTCCAGCACCAATTTTAGAGGAAAAGACTGTTATTAGGGTCAGGATGAGTGATACAGCTCATCTTCCTTGTAGATGTGAGAGAAGGAATGTGTAGAGGTGAGATTCCTCTCATGTGGAGAGAAGTTTTGAATGGTAATGTGACTATTGGGGATTTTAGAGATATTTGGTGGGTTTGTGGTGATAAAGCATATATATTCTTACCCTATGGATGGACAGGATGTTGTTACATGTCGACATTGAAGCTTCCATATGAGGTTTTTACCATTGAAAGAGGGGAAGCACCGGACACAGATAAATCTGAGTCTAGGTTTGGAAATAGGGTGAAAAGGGATATGGCGGAATTTCATAGTCTGGAAGCTTACCATTGGAGGATAAGTCTAGGAGAGAAGTGGGGACTGGGACTTTTTCCATGGTATGGTGTAAAATTTTTGGCAGATCATATTGATAATATTACCTATACTTTGCAGGGTTTTGCAAATGAATCGATAAGAGGGTTTAACCTTCTGTCGAATACACAAAGAAGTCACAGACTGACGCTGTTGAAATATGACATGGCTCTTGACTATATTTTAGCAAAACAAGGTGGCTTATGTTTGGCTATGAATTTGACGGGGGATGATTGTTATACTTTGATCCCAGATAGTTCCGATAATATCACTAGTGTTATAGATGCATTGAAGAATATAAGGGATGAGTTTGGTAGATCTGAAGGAGCTGGATGGTCAGCGAAGACTTGGTTGCAAGATCAGTTAGGCCCAGTGGGAGCAGTGATGGTTCAGATTTTAGTGGCAGCTCTGATAGCACTGTTTGTGATGTTTTGCTTTTGTACTTTGTTACTGACTTTTGCGAAGGCTATGATATTGAGATGGGTTGGAGTTGTGATGCCTGGAGACAACACTCAAATGCCGTTGTTGACTGTTACTGATCTGGATGAAGATGGACAAGTGGGACTGGATGGAGTATTGATGGATAAATATCCATTTTGATGATCTGATCATTTTTCAAATGTTTTTTAATATTAGTGTGATTTTAGTATTTTGTTATGAATCAAAGGGGGGAAATAGAATGTGATTCATTTTATATATCATTTTTATATTCTTAGTTGATATTGATGTTTTAATTTGAATGTGTTGTTTTGCAAAATATACTGTTTGGTCTTTTCTTTTCTTCCAGAAGCATATGGGGTAATATGTAGAGGGGATTCAAATGCTCAAACAAGGACAATATGAAAGGATAATATGAAGGGACTGGAGGAGATGGAACAAGGAAGGTGTGGAAATGTTCCGATTCCATCATCAACGATGCATTGGAAGTCGACACTGCTGAGGAGATGAAGTGTAGTGGACTACATTCCAGTGTCTGCAATGATATATAGACATATTTGCATGTGTAATACATAATTTGTGTCATATTCTTTCTGTATTAATTTTTGTAGAATGATATTTGCTGTTATTGGGTACATGTGGGGATCTCAGATGTTTTTGTTTATTTCGTGGATGCTTAGGGATATTGGGTCTAGGCAGGGATAGAGAGAATCCACATTAGGGTCCGATGGGTCGACCAGCCTGAGTGTGGACATTTTTGATAGTATTTTGTTTGCTGATGCTTTCATGTGTATTTAGTTGCATCATAGTTTCAAATGCATTGATAAAGATTTATGAATTGATCTGGAGTACTTAGGTGGTTGCCTGGGGCAGAGGGGCCGTGAGAGAATTTTACTGTCTTGATTGGAAAGAAGGACTCCATAGAGATTTGTTCATGTTTCATAGAAATGTATTCACACTCCATAGAGATTTGTTCATATTTCATAGAAATGTATTTACACTCCATAGAAAAATTTGTTTTTGGTTTATTGTTAAAGATACTCAATAAGATAAATTGTTACTTGTCATAATCCTATTCTGTTTGTTTTCGAGACTTAATTTGTCTCGAAGGGGGGAAATATGTAGTGTCTGAGGGATTATGACTTTGCTAATGTTTTCAAAGTGGAACCTGAGAGGATGTTTATTCAGTTTTAGGGGGAGCAGTTTTAGAGGGACACCCCATAGAACAGAGGAAGTCTGTTGTGTGGAGACAGGTGATTGGTCAGTATGGGAAACCACACATATCCTGGTAAAGATTATAAGTACTGGTTTGAGACAAAGAAGATCAGAACAGACATATTATTTTGGGACACTGTTCTCCAGATGCTGCAGACGTCTGTAAACGTATGCTGAAATCTTGTGATATAAATAAAACTTATAATCAAAGTACAGTATAAGCGGACTCCTTGGTTTCACAGCATAATTAGCAGCGTTTACTCGACACAACACCGGCTCAGAGGGTTTGCCAGTCCTCTTCTAGGGTCAATGCTAATATGAAGTCCTGTCTAGTTCAGTCAGATCTACTGATCATTCTAAATATAATATAAATAAATGAAACAAAAAAGGAGAGTGAGAGAGCGCGCGAGAGAGAGAGAGAGAGACTTACTCCAGCCCAAACGCCTCCTTCCAAATATATAGTCTCATTGATAGTCTTCAGGAGGGTTTGGAATTGGTCGTCGCTGTATTCAAAGCGGTCACCAAACACAAGACAGCAGATCACATTGGAGACAGCATTGTTAATCAGCATCTGGGGGTTGAAGGGTTTCCCTGCATGGGACAAAAGCAACATGGCTCACCCCAAAATCAAAGACTAAGTAAGAACAAACATTATTTGTTTGCGTGTGAGCCATATCCTTACACTGAACTTCAGTCTGCAAAAATGTTTCTGGGTAAGCACCACAGTTTATACAGTTTTGTCCCCAAAAAATGTATTGGTGCGAGGACTCCTGACCTCAACAGAATCTGTCACCATAAAAATCAATACATTATTTATCGCTGTGTGTCTGTTACATCCAAACCAGAGGCCTCTCAAGTGTAAACTTAACAGTAACAATGTCAGTGTAGTGTATACTCATCTGTTTTGAAAAGTATATGAATTTCCTTGCAGGGACAATAATATTTGAATTGAACTGTAACCATATCAAGAACCTTGTTCACTCTGAAAGGCTTCATTCAAACACTGCGCTTCAATCTGGATGGATGGCTCCAGACTCTTCTTGCCCAGTCCAAAGTTCCTCAGTGTAGAGAGAGCAAACCTCCTCTGTTGCTTCCATGTATACCCATTCGACATAATCACACCTAAGTGTATGAAACATTTTCAGTGATCAGTGAAGAATCAAAACCTTGTACCATACACTCAAAGGTAAGTAAGAACGCCTTGGACAAATATCCTTGTCTGAGCCAGAACGCCCCATCCCCTGTTTCTGTAGCATGAGGCAGCTTGATGTTCAAGTAGCTACACCCCCTGGATAGGATTCTAGTTGTCGCAGGCTCCTTACCCCAATCCAAGAAAATAGGCATCAGGTCAAATGTTTTGCCTTTGGTATGACTAGACTGGGGATCCAACCCCCAAACTTCTTATTTAAGGACTGACACTCTAATACACTCAAAGGTTCAAGGATTTACTATTTCCACAATATTACATTATTACCAATATGATCAGTTATCAATTATCAGTCAATAGACATACAGTGGGGAGAACAAGTATTTGATACACTGCCGATTTTGCAGGTTTTCCTACTTACAAAGCATGTAGAGGTCTGTAATTTTTATCATAGGTACACTTCAACTGTGAGAGACGGAATCTAAAAACAAAAATCCAGAAAATCACATTGTATGATTTTTAAGTAATTCATTTTCATTGTATTGCATGACATAAGTATTTGATCACCTACCAACCAGTAAGAATTCCGGCTCTCACAGACCTGTTCGTTTTTCTTTAAGAAGCCCTCCTGTTTTCCACTCATTACCTGTATTTACTGCACCTGTTTGAATTCGTTACCTGCATAAAGGACACCTGTCCACACACTCAATCAAACAGAATCCAACCTCTCCACAATGGCCAAGACCTGAGAGCTGTGTAAGGACATCAGGGATAAAATTGTAGACCTGCACAAGGCTGGGATGGGCTACAGGACAATAGGCAAGCAGCTTGGTGAGAAGGCAACAACTGTTGGCGCAATTATTAGAAAATGGAAGAAGTTCAAGATTACGGTCAATCACCCTCTGTCTGGGGCTCCATGCAAGATCTCACCTTGTGGGGCATCAATGATCATGAGGAAGGTGAGGGATCAGCCCAGAACTACACGGCAGGACCTGGTCAATGACCTGAAGTGAGCTGGGACCACTGTCTCAAAGAAAACCATTAGTACCACACTACGCCGTCATGGATTAAAATCCTGCAGCGCAGGCAAGGTCCCCCTGCTCAAGCCAGCGCATGTCCAGGCCCGTCTGAAGTTTGCCAATGACCATCTGGATGATCCAGAGGAGGAATGGGAGAAGGTCATGTGGTCTGATGAGACAAAAATAGAGCTTTTTGGTCTAAACTCCACTCGCCGTGTTTGGAGGAAGAAGAAGGATGAGTACAACCCCAAGAACACCATCCCAACCGTGAAGCATGGAGGTGGAAACATCATTATTTGGGGATGCTTTTCTGCAAAGGGGACAGGACGACTGCACCGTATTGAGGGGAGGATGGATGGGGCCATGTATCGCGAGATCTTGGCCAACAACCTCCTTCCCTCAGTAAGAGCATTGAAGATGGGTCGTGGCTGGGTCTTCCAGCAAGACAACGACCCGAAACACACAGCCAGGGCAACTAAGGAGTGGCTCCGTAAGAAGCATCTCAAGGTCCTGGAGTGGCCTAGCCAGTCTCCAGACCTGAACCCAATAGAAAATCTTTGGAGGAAGCTGAAAGTCCATATTGCCCAGCGACAGCCCCGAAACCTGAAGGATCTGGAGAAGGTCTGTATGGAGGAGTGGGCCAAAATCCCTGCTGCAATGTGTGCAAACCTGGTCAAGACCTACAGGAAACGTATGATCTCTGTAATTGCAAACAAAGGTTTCTGTACCAAATATTAAGTTCTGCTTTTCTGATGTATCAAATACTTATGTCATGCAAAAAAATGCAAATTAATTACTTAAAAATCATACAATGTGATTTTCTGGATTTTTGGTTTAGATTCCGTCTCTCACAGTTGAAGTGTACCTATGATAGAAATTACAGACCTCTACATGCTTTGTAAGTAGGAAAACCTGCAAAATCGGCAGTGTATCAAATACTTGTTCTCCCCACTGCACTGTAAGATAAGGACAATGTCCTGCCTTTCCAGTGAAAACAAGTCATCCAGCACCATAATTGAATCATCATAGTATGCAGTATTGGCAGTGTAAAACGCTTTCACCTAATTACCTTTACTTCCCGATGCTCCTCTGATTCTTGGATGTCGTACTTGTACATTTCTGGACGTCAAACTTGACATTTTTTGGGACTGAGATCAATGGACTCTTGTCCTATATGGGACCTTGTATATTTGTATATAGCTATGAACCGTAATACTGCTCTGGTATAGTATGTTTTGTGTGTTGGCTCTATTTTTGAATATTAAGTCATTGTTATGCATTCAGTGCAGTTAACAATTAGGGGCCGATATGTTAGAGCCGATTTGGACATACAGAACATACAGAGCTCCATGTACGTGTGTGTAAATATATGAAATATGAATGTATATGATGAAATATTAGGTACGTACCTTTATGATTTATTTACCTGATTGAGATATTCCTTTTTCATTAGTTTAACTTAGTTTTTGGCTCCCCCTCTTGCCCATTCATTGTACTGTGGTAAGTGTGTTGGTAATAGGATAAAGGCAGGAAGTTGGGCAAGGGAGTCCTAGCTAGAAGCGGGAGCGGTATAGTCTTTTGACCATACAGACAGGCCATACTATGTATTTTTCATGTCAAATAATCGATGCTTTAAGTTGATTGGAGAATCGTTGTTTGTTAGATATGAGAAGAATAAACCTTGTTGTTGCACCATATCATTTACATTTACATTTTAGTAATTTAGCAGACGCTCTTATCCAGAGCGACTTACAGGAGCAATTAGGGTTAAGTGCCTTGCTCAAGGGCACATTTACGTCATTTAGCAGACGCTCTTATCCAGAGCGACTTACAAATTGGTGCATTCACCCTATAGCCAGTGGGATAACCACTTTCCAATTTTTTTTTTTTTTTTTTTTTTTTGGGGGGGGGGGGTAGAAGGATTACTTTATCCTATCCCAGGTATTCCTTAAAGAGGTGGGGTTTCAAATGTCTCCGGAAGGTGGTGAGTGACTCCGCTGTCCTGGCGTCGTGAGGGAGCTTGTTCCACCATTGGGGTGCCAGAGCAGCGAACAGTTTTGACTGGGCTGAGCGGGAACTATGCTTCCGCAGAGGAAGGGGAGCCAGCAGGCCATATCCCTGGATCTCATTGAATGTTTTTTTCCCATTATAGGTTTTGTCCCCTTTAATTACATTTAAACACACAGTGCTCCCGAGTGGCGCAGCGGTCTAAGGCACTGCATCTCAGTTCTTGAGGCGTCACTACAGACCCCCTGGTTCGATTCCAGGCTAAATCACAACTGGCCTTGATTGGGAGTCCCATAGGGCGGCGCACAATTGGCCCAGAGTCATCCGGGTTTGGCCGGTTGAGGCCGTCATTGTAAATAAGAATTTGTTCTTAACTGACTTGCCTAGTAAAATAAAGGTAATACAATCTTTAGATCCTTTAGTATAGTTCCATTGATGCATTGTATTTCTACGTTAGGCCTAATATTATACATTTGATTAGGCTACATTGTGCATAGGATCTCAGTGTTGCCCAAACTCAAACTTCTTTATAGTTTTCACAGCGCTGTGTTTTGAATTCCATTCCCAAGTTTATCAAACATTCCAATTATAAGCACATTTGCGCTTCCATAATATGCTTGATGAAACGATTGCATTGAACAGGGCAGCTCATTCATTCGCAGTGGTTACTCACGGCTAGCGAATTCTAGGAGTTCAAGTCCTTCCAAGCGAGCTGTCGTTGTGGTTCGAATGCAATGTTAAATATTACAATATCCAGCTTGTGTCGGTACCTGAGCTTTCCTTCTGATAGTAATCCTTCACGGAGTCTTTTGACTTGAATGTAGTGGCTTCCTTACCAATTGACCATAGCCACTGCCCAAGCCTAAAGCGGGGTCGTTTCGGACGCATACAGTCCACATTCGAAGTTCCTAAACGGCAAAAACATTCAATGAGATCCAGGAATATGGTGCAACAACAAGGACCGCTCATTCATTCACATTGGTTACTCACTGCTAGTGAATTCTAGGAGTCTCAAGTCCTTCCAAGCGAGCTCTGCTTTCGGTCCGAATGCAATGGTAAATATAACAATATCCAGCGTGTATCCGTAACGGAGTTTTCCTTCCGATAGTAAACCTTCACAGAGTCTTTTGACTTGAATGTTTTTTATGGCTTTGTTGTCTGTTGTTGTAAAACCATTTGTAGTGGGGTCTTTGGAACTGCACCTAGTCATGCAAACTCCACAGGTGATAGTTCAGGTTCCTCAAAGACCTCAGGATCCTAGTTCTCAAAATAGGAGTTCATTCCATCTTCTTGGT